GAATCCTTCTACGGTTGAGTTTGGTTATATCATGCCCGTGCTTTCATTTTTGATAGTTTAGGTGGTTGCCTTGTCTATGAATGTGTGGATTGCATTTAACAGCATATTTTTTTTACCCCGAAAAGTTGTTGCGTTCTGAATTAGAGCCTAGGCCCATGGTTGATTAGGCGATAAAATATAAATTCAAGTTGGATTATTCATTGACCTTTCAAGTAGAAGCCTTAATTGACATTTTTTTGCTAATCTGCATAACATATCTATCATATTCAAGTTATAATAGTGTTTATTTTTTTGCACAGTGGTCTTTGATGGTTTGTTCTTGATGTTTGTTCTTGATGTTTATTTTTGTCGGTAAAAATTATTCTTGATGTTTGATCCAATGGAAATTGAAGATGGTTGCTCCCATGTTGTTGATAAAAAATCTCTCAGTTAGATAACTTAGTTGTGCCAATTGTTGATGAGCACTTAAAACCAAAAATAGGAATGACTTTTGGTAATTTAGAAGAAGCTAAAAAATTCTACAGAAATTATGGAAAGGTCGGAGGTTTTGATATTCGTAATAGCACAACAAATTATAGGAAGGATAGAGAGTTAATTAACAAAATTTATGTTTGTTCAAAGGAAGGAGTGTTAAAGAGCAAATCGTTGGAAATTCGATGATGTGGTACAATTAGAACAAATTGTAAGGCCTTGATTCGCTTGAAATTAGACAAAAACATTGGCATATGGAGTGTCTACAAGTTTGTGGAAGAACATAATCATACAATTACTTCACCGAGTAGAACACATTTTCTAAGGGGAAACCGTGAGGTAACAAGTGCGAAGAAGACATTGATAAAGCAGTTTGGAGAGGTGAACATTCCAACAAACAAGCAAATAGCCTTCTTTGAAAACTCTAGCAGAGGTTTTCATAGAATTGGATGCATTGAGACCGATGTGAGAAATTATGAAAAAGATTTGAGAGAGGAGAGGCGCGGTCATGATGCACAAATGATGTTGGATCATTTCTAGTCGGAACAAGAGAAGAATCCTTCATTTTATTATGTTTATGAAGTTGATGAAGAGAAGCACTTAACTCATTGTTTTTGGGTGAATGGCATTGCTCGAATGAATTATCAACACTTTGGCGATGTTGTCTCCTTCGATGCCATGCATAACACAAATCAATATGGCTTAGTATTTGTGCCGTTTGTAGGAGTAAATCACCATTGGCAAAGTGTTTTTTTAGGATGTGGCTTGATCCCAAATGAAGAGGCGAAGTCTTTCGTATGGTTGTTTAACAAATGGATTGAAGCAATGGGTCATCCTCCTTCAGGCATGATTACAGATCAATGTCAAGCAATGGGTCATCCTCCTTCAGGCATGATTACAGATCAATGTCTTGGCATATGCAAGGCAATTGAAATATTTTTTCCAGAAATTCGGCACAAGTTTTGCATTTGGCATATCTCGGACAAAGTTCCAGAGAAGTTGGGTAAATGGGCTTATAGAACGGAATTTATGAAATCTTTCAAAGAAAATATTTGGGACTCCGAGACTGCTAGCTCTTTTGAAGAGAATTGGGTTTCAATTATTAAGAAAAATGGATTGGAAAAGCATGATTGGCTAAATGATATCTATGAAATTCGTGAAAAATGGGCTCCAGTTTATTATAAACAACACTTTTGGGCTGGAATGTCTAGCAGTCAAAGAAGTGAAGGGATGAATGCATTGCTAATGGAAACGCATGATTGGCTAAATGATATCTATGAAATTCGTGAAAAATGGGCTCCGGTTTATCATAAACAACACTTTAGGGCTGGAATGTCTAGCAGTCAAAGAAGTGAAGGGATGAATGCATTGCTAAAAATGCATGTATCAAGAAAAAATTCACTTCATGATTTCGTGACCATCTTTCAGAGGGTCTTGGCGAGACAAAGAGAGGGGGAGCTTAAAGAAGATCATTGCACAGTGGAGGAAAAGCCAAATTTGAAGACTTTATGATCAATAAAAAAACAAATGGCCTAAATCTACACGAAAAAAAATCTTTTATATTTTTCAAGATGAGCTTCAACCTAGCTTAATGTATAACATTGAGCTGGTAAAAGAAAATAAAAGAGAAAGTACATTCCAATTGAATTTTTGTGGTCATGATGAAAGATTGAAAGAAGATCATTGCACAGTGGAGGAAAAGCCAAATTTGAAGACTTTGTGATCAATAAAAAAACAAATGGCCCAAATCTACACGAAAAAAATCTTTTATATTTTTCAAGACGAGCTTCAACCTAGCTTAATGTATAACATTGAGCTGGTAAAAGAAAATAAAAGAGAAAGTACATTCCAATTGAATTTTTGTGGTCATGATGAAAGATTGAGACATATTATACATTGCAAAACAACTAAAATGGTCCGTTGTTCGTGTCTCATGTTTGAATTCAAGGGCATTCCATACCGACATATCTTGGCATATCTTAAAATTACCAATCATAGTGAGTTACCGGAGCAATATATTCTAAGAAGATGATGCCGAAATGTCAGAAAAATGGTTGTTCTTAGAGATGGTAATATTATTGGAGATAATGCCACAATTAATTTTGCTTCTCGTTTTAGTGAACTAAATTACTTAGCTAATGAAATGATCGAAGAGGGGCTATCTTCTAATGACGTATATGAATTAATGCGTGAAATGATGATGGATGCTATTAATAAGGTGTAACATTTGAAACTCATCAATGATGAAGAAATTGGACAAGATGTAGAAGCACAATATAGTAATGCGGAGTGTTCTCAAGATATAGTTCATGAAACAAGTCAAGCAAGAACAAAAGGAAGGCCTAAAGGGAAGAGGTTAAAGCCATTGAGAGAGATCCGCAAATAAGTCAAGCAAGAACAAAAGGAAGGCCTAAAGGGAAGAGGTTAAAGCCATTGAGAGAGATCCGCAAATGCCGGCCTAGGAAATGCAAATTGTGTGGAAAGGAGAGAGATCCGCAAATGCCGGCCTAGGAAATGCAAATTGTGTGGAAAGCGAGGACAAAATCATGATAGCAGAAATTTCCCTCTAAAGTTGTCGAGGTAGTGTATTATTATTTTTAGTAATACTAATGCTATTATTTTTTAAGCTTTTTTTTAAGTTGGTGCAACCATGCAATGATCTTTAATGTATTTTGCTATCATTAATTTTTTTTAGTGATTCAATGGAACAAGATAATAGTGATGAAGCCACTGATGATTTAGAAGATTTCTTTGAGGAAGGTAATGGTTAATGTGATGAAGCAATGATCTTTAATGTGATTTTTTTAATACAGATGAAATTCTCACTATTACGTGAAGTTTGATCAAGGTTGGCGGAGCAAATCATAGCACTATTGGTGAGAAGGGGTTGAAGTCGTTATGTATCTGTGTATGTTGGGGCTTTTTGAGGTGTGATTGTATTTTTGGGTTGAGATTTTGTATCTTTTGTGTTGGTACGTTGATATCAGAATTTGTTGGTAATAGTCGTCATGTGTTGGTAGAAGATGGCTGATGCGAAACAGTTTTTAGGTTGAGTTTTTGGGTTGAGTTTTTTATCTTTCTTTTGTGTTTGTCTTGTTGGTCTTTCTGATGAAGGTTTGTTCCTGGCATCTCTTAATCTTGGTCATCACATTTTTAATCCAATTTTTATTTTACATTTTATGGGTCAAGTTTGTTATGTTCTGTTGGTTGCATTCAACAATTGACACAAATGAGAACTTCTAAATACAATCCTTTACAATTAGAGGTATTTTTACAATCGCAGTTGTAGCTGCATTGCATTTATTAGTGACGATTAAAGGAACAATTGCCACGAATCAAAATACAGTCCTTTGCAATTGCAATGAATCAAACAATCCTCAACTATGAATGGTTTCTAGAATTAGAAGATGGTTGGCAGCTAGAACCAATTGAGTGTTGCAATGTTCAAGCCCTTTGATTTTTCTTTCATGCAGAGAACATTAGGTATATGACCGAAGGATGCAATATTTTTTGGTATCAATCATGTGATTAGGTGAGACAAAAGAGGTACCATTTGTGCCTCAACATCTCTTGCTTGTAGTGAAGTCACTGAAGTGCAACCAATTTTTTGAATGTTAAAATTTTAAAATTTTACTGTTAGCATAAGAATGAGCAATAGATAAGGAGAAAATTTGGAGCTCATTTGTGTTAACACAGAGCAACAATAGATAAGGAGAAAATTTGCTCAGTCATTTGACTATAACCCAAAGCAACAATATCAGTACAACGATACTTATAAATTTCAAATATAAAATTATATCATTCAACAATTTTTTCAAAACCTCATCATTTTTTTCTAGCCTTTCCAGCCTTTTTGTGATGTTCTTGTTATCACCAACCCATTCGAAAAAGTTGCAACCCTTGCAATTAGGTCCCTTGTATCTCGGACATCCATAAAATTCCAAGCTCTTATTGTGTCCTTGCTTGCACATCCATATTTTTCAAATTAACCCACAATAACATATTCTTTGAACTAAACCCTCATCTTCTTCTCCACTGAACTCTTCCGAAAAGTTCTTCATCTTTTATCTACAAAAAACATACCACAAACAATACAAAAAGTATACGACATCTTTGAAGCTTAAATCTAAATACAGTGTCAAGCCAAGCTATAAATCAAAACTAAAAATGAAATAGTAGAGTTTACAGTGCAAAATAAGTTGCACGGGATGTCTTTAGTTACAAAACAAGATGCAGAAAAATTCAGTAAGTTGACAGGATGGAGGTGGTTGTTTAATCTAAGTACTGAAGTAATTCCATGGTATTAGGCAGTAGATGGAGTGTGTCTATCAGGCAGTAGATGCAGTGTGTTTATTTCCAAATGTAAACCTAAGCTGAAGCAACAGAGACCGTGAATGCAGTGTGTCTATCACAAAGTCATAAGATAATCTTAATCCTCGTCTCTCGCCACATGATTATACATCCTAAAGAAATAAACTATGAAGGCAGATAAAAAACAATGACACCCCCTTTCCATTATGGCATTTGCTTTAAGTTGCAAACAAGGAAATATAATAGGCAGATATCATTATGGCATTTGCTTTAAGTTGCAAACAAGGAAATATAATAGGCAGATATCCATCTTCTACCAACCAAAAATGAGAATAGAAAATAAACTATGAGAAAAGGATAGCCCCTTCATAGATACAAAAGATATCAGACTTCTCATAAAAAACATTACGCCAACAACTACACCAAGAAAGGATTAACGGGAGCACTTCTCACACAAGTAAAGAACCAAACTGATAACAAATCCAACATAGACTAAACACAAAAGATAATAAAACCAAATTCAACAACCCAATCAAAAATTACCTAAACAAATATGCTCGTTGCTGTAGATATGCGGATGCAACGGTGCTGGATTCAGAAAAATCACCTGATCACCAAAACCCATCAAACAAAACCCACATCTTTCCCATCAGTAACATACCAATTCCCCCAAAAACACAAAATTTAACAATAAAAATTGAGTCTTTTCATCACCTGAGGCGCTTCCATAGGGTAATGCTCATGAAAATCAACCTGAAGCTGATAAGTCTCATTGGCGTACAAAGTCCTTTGCGCTCCATTAACCTCAATAACCCATCTTCACAATTATTTACAAGAACAATCAATCAATTTTTAATCGAGAACAAATAAAAAGAGACCAATAACAAAACCCTAAATCATAACCCTAACCTCTGGAGATTATCAGAGACCTTGTGCTTGAATCCGGCGGGGGGATTGACCTGCCACTCGACGAGCTCCTTCTGGAGACGATTACATGCGATCTTAATCCGGCGGGGGGATTGACCTGCCACTCGACGAGCTCCTTCTGGAGACGATTACATGCGATCTTGCTTAGGGCCTGAAATCGATGGAGAAATCAAATTAGGGTTTGAAAATTTTTAGGAGAGGAGAGAAAAAGATCATTACTTTGCGAGATGAGGAGGTGGTCGCCGGCAGTGCTTGGGGTCACGAGCGAGAGAGGGAGAGGAGGGTTTGAGGAGTTGGTCGGGTAACCCCAGCGGCGGTGCGTGGGTTTCACGAGCGAGAGGGTTCCACGAGGGAGAGAGAGGGAGGAGGGTTTGAGGAGAGAGAGGGAGGAGGATTTGAGGTGAGAGAAGAGGAAGGTTTGAGGAGAAGCAATGGGTCACGATATTTTTTTGGGGTTTTGCGGTCACGATATTATGAGGGTATAGATGTGTAATAAAATGTTATGATCAACAAATCTATAACTACTATAACTAAGGAAGCTACATCCAACAATATACTTCTAGTGACCAAGTAATCAAATGAAGACAAGTTTCAACCCATATAAGAAGACTCAAGCTATGTTTAACAGTGCACCTCTGACTATTATCCAAAGCATTTCGATTCCTGTTACAAGACGACGGTAGGATCTCAAAAACTTTATGGACGGTCTTATAAAAGGTTAAAATGTACTCTCTCTTGGACCAATAATCAGCCAAAGTCCAAAAAAGTGAATGTCTATGGAGAAACACTTCATATAGGCTCAAACACAAGCCCATGACGAAGCTCACCTGAATCATGGTGAAGCTTGCCTAAGTCTTTGCGAAGCTTGCCCAAGTTATATTGAAGCTCGCTACTATGAGCAAGTCAAAGTAAAGCTTCAAGAAAAGTTTTCCCACAACGAACTTCACCCCCAATAATCCACGTGGCCCCCATCATCCACACTCTAAGGGAAGTGGGCTACCCATGTTCTAGTGAAGTTCGTTAGAACAAACATTGAATGGTTCTCTCTATTACCTCCTAAGTTAATAGCTAATAGCCACCAAATTCATATTTAATGGGCTCCCCCCCTCCCCCCTCCTCCTCTCAGCCTATAAAAAGAGGGGAGATTGCTTATTTTTGGGCACTTTACACTTGGCAATTTTACACAACTGGAAGAACTCGGCAAGTTAGCAACTCAAAATAGCTACTCACTTGCAGGTTTTAGGATCTTCGAAAAAGCATCGGTAATTTTTAACCAGTAGAAGACCCAACGCTTTAGTCAGATCGTCAATGGAGTATAAGGTCAACGCTCCATCAGCACACAAAAAAGGACCCGGTTAATAATTTTTTTTAATTCTTTGAAGTTGTAATCTGCGTTAGTTATAACTCAAAGACCCGAAATAGTGATGGGTAAAGCTTTGCATAAGATCGAGTTCATCACACGAAGCATACACATTAAGTCAAAGAAGTTTTGCACATTGTCGACTGGGTCACATCCGCCTTTGTATTTCTCAATATGCGGCATTTTAAACTTGGGATGAGGAGCGTTCATGATTTCATCAGAGAGTGGAGTGTTTTCTCCAATGATGTCGGCCATCATGTTAAAAATCTAGTTATAACCAGGAATTCGGTTAGCCACAAAAGGGTTTATTATAGTTGTTAGGGCCTTGGTTGCATAAGTATACCCCATCCCTTGCGACACCGCTCACAGGTCGTGACTAGGATCACGACTCAAGCTTTGGCATGATGTGTCTTGATGCTGAGGAGATGCTGGGGACTGACAGTAAAACAGGGTTGATGCTACGGTGGTTGAGGGGTGGTCTCTATGACTAGCTTTTCATCTCCCTACTACTGGGATTGCTACTTTGGGATAGGTGATGAAGAAGGCTAGAGAGGAGGGAAACGACTAAGGAGATTGCTTGTAAATGAGGGAACTATTGTTAGAGCGATTGTGCTAACCTGTGAAAGAACTCAATTGGCCCCTAGTGGCATAGCTGGTGCGGGAAGATTATTCGAAAGTATATAAGCTAGGGATCTGAGAACAATTAGGATCAGCCATTTCCTCAAGAGAAGAAGAATTGACCCCACGGTGAGTGCCAAACTGTTTATATCTGAACGTTAATTTGTGAGTATAGTAACTGTAGGGTGAAAAATTTGATTTCCCGGAAACAGGGAGTTTCGTTTGTATTGATAAGAAAGCTTATTACAAACTAACAAATCAAATGTTTACAACAGAAGCAGAGGGAAAGCCCTCTTTGTTTTGTGTGGGGACTTTAGGTGGCTGTAGGACGCTTCGCTCGATGCTCGTGTTGAGTCTGCTTCCCTTGGACCGTTTGAATGAGGTTGCTGGAGAGCTTCAGTACGCAGTAGAAGTTCGAATCGATGGAGTTCGGGTCTGCTTAGTTCGCCGGCGATCGGAGCTCAGAACTAGGCAGTGGTGCTGTAATGCAAGGATCTACTAACAGCTTGGTCTCAACTAGTTTTCTCCAAGTTTTGCGACCTCTTCTCCAGTGTGCTGGAAGGGGCTTTTAAATGGAAGGAGGACAGCTTGACTCATCCTTGAATTATGGGATGTGACCACATTTTCTTCAGAGACGTCTAGCTGCTCCTCGATACCATGAATGGTCATTCGAGGGATTGTGCTTTATGTCCTGTCACCTAAAATGGGAAGGCCCATCCTTGTATATGAGGCAACGGCCGTCTGATATCTGAGCGGACCTGACCAGCATTAATGACCCGCATTTATGAGTTCGCAGAGTGATGAGGCGTCTGTCCGATCACTCGTACTGTGCGTGACCGTCCGGCATGCTTTGAGCACGGTATTTTCTCCTTTCCGATCAGGAGAGGCGGTGAAGTAGGTGCACAGTACTTGAGTGGGTCTAGCCAACTTGCCGAGTGCCGGCGGATCCAGCTCCTGACTTAGACAACTGAGGTGAGTCACATTTATGAATGCTCAGGTTGACTCGACACATGTCCAGTCCTTCGTGCTGTGCGTACTGCGAGCGGCCGTTTGACGGTCTTGGGGTACTGTGCTCTCTCCCTTCGGGGCGAGAGGGATGGGAAGGTCCATCTCAGCACGTGGGGTAGCGGATACCCAGCTGTACTGATGGTCTTGGGGCTTGCTGGCGGATTCGACCCTGAACTCGGGCAGGCGAGTTGAGTGAAAGGCGAACTTCCACCATCCTGATCGATCTTAACTTATGCTGGCGAGCCGACCGTTAGGCGAACTTAGAATTGAGCATATCTGACGTCTACGCGATTTAGGCCCGTGCCAGAGAACTGAGCATGCGAGCTCTTCTCGTAGGCAAATTTCCTATAAGCCTATAGAGGTATTTTTTACCGTCTACAAGACCCCCTTCAAAGTTTTCAGACCTAAACTGGCTCGCGTGTGGTCTGGAATACTTTGAATGAAGAAATTTTCGGCGAAGTAGGCGCACTTGCTTTCTTTTAGGATTTTTAGCAAATCCTCAGCTATCAACGGGTTTGATGTGCCTTTACCGATTACCGTTTGAATCGATCGGTTTAGCCATACTATTCCCCTCAGTATGATGAGTTGTCGAACAGTTTCTCTTAGGCCTAATGCTAAGATTTCCGCTCTAACCCTTAGCCGTCTGAGGCGTGGGTTTTAACCGTTTAAGCGAGGTCATTCTATTGGCTTCGTTTGTAATTTTACCTTTAGTGGCGAGTGAATCGTCAAGGCGAAATTAGTCTTCGGGGAGCCAAGTTTCGTGCAACTCGCGGGGTCATGCCAAGTATTTGCAGGTGAAATGCTTCCTTTTTGAGGCGGGCCCAGATCTGACGGGAGATGAGCCACGTGTCTGCCGATAGGGCTTTGTGCTTCCCAGCTAAGGCGGCGCGGTCTCATCGGGTCATCGTGACTTGACAACACGATTTTCGTGTGTTTCGCCCCGCGACGCATCGTGGCCGTGGTTTTCGAACTAAACCGTCGGATGCACCCGCCAACCTTGGTTCCTTCGATATACCGAGGGTGATCTGGACCGTCGAATTTGATCGTGGCCACGTCTCCTGTCCGTTAGGGTTTTCGCTTTTCGAGGGCAGTCGTGGCCACGTGGACAACTCCGCCCTTCTAAGTCAGCCATTTTCCTCCATTGGGAGTTACCGTGCTCTCAAATCTCGAAAGGAACCTCCAAGGAAAGAATTCCCGCTTTATCCTACAATGGCTCAGAAATCTAAGAGGTGCAAAGTGAGGGGTGCAGGCCCCGGACGTTACTCCGACCGTCTCTCCGCCAGCATGCCTGCCGGTGCTCTGGAGTCGCGCCCAGGTATGTTGATGGGTTCGTTGGACGATCTCTTGTAGGTCTTAGGCGTCGGATTTTTAGGGAGATGAGTGTTACCCATTATGCTTGGTAGCTTCCCCGATTTGGGGCAAAGTTTGCCCTATTTGCCCTTAGAGGATGATTATTGCCTCTGCAGGCGAATCCTTCAGTGGGGAGGAGGCGAACTCCCTTTTCGTAAGGCGAGTTCGGCCCTTTCCTATTAAAGGGGAGTATAGTCTGTACGGATAGACCTCGTTCGAAGTGGGTTTCCCCTTTCGATAGGCGATTTCGCCCTCCTCTGTTTGATAGGCGATTTTGCCCCTACAACGGATTTTGTCTCGATTGACTTTTTATTTCTTGTTGCAGTGACCTTTTCCGATGAGGCTTTCCCGGAGGGGGCCGTCGAATTTGATCGTGGCCACGTCTTCTGTCCGTTAGGGTTTTCGCCTTTCGAGGGTAGTCGTGGCCATGTGGACAACTCCGCCCTTCTAAATTAGCCATTTTCCTCCATTGGGAGTTACCGTGCTCTCAAATCTCGAAAGGAACCTCCAAGGAAAGAATTCCCGCTTCATCCTACAATGGCTCCGAAATCTAAGAGGTGCAAAGTGAGGGGTGCAGGCCCCGGACGTTACTCCGACCGTCTCTCCGCCGGCATGCCTGCCGGTGCTCTGGAGTCGCGCCCAGTTATGTTGATGGGTTCGTTAGACGATCTCTTGTAGGTCTTAGGCGTCGGATTTTAGGGAGATGAGTGTTACCCATTATGCTTGGTAGCTTCCCCGATTTGGGGCAAAGTTTGCCCTATTTGCCCTTAGAGGATGATTACTGTCTCCGCGTGCGAATCCTTCAGCGGGAAGGAGGCGAACTCCCTTTTTGTAAGGCGAGTTCGGCCCTTTCCTGTTATAGGGCAGTATAGTCTGTACGGATAGACCTCGTTCGAAGTGGGTTACCCTTTTCGACAGGCGATTTTGCCCTCCTCTGTTTGATGGGTGATTTTGCCCCTACAGCGGATTTTGTCTCGATTGACTTTCTTCCTTTTTTTTTCTTGCAGCGATCTTTTCCAATGAGGCTTTTCCGGAGGGTGTAGCCGTTGGCCACGCTGGGGCTATGAGTTACACGGCACCTTCTTGATTTCCCTCTTTGGCTCCAGTACCCGTGTTCACCGCTGATAAGCCGCATGGTCTGATACAGAGGGTCACGGACAGTCATCATTTGACACTACGCGAGCTGACGACCAATGCGGCGCTGACAGATGAGGACAGGGCAGAGCTGCCGAAGCCTCAATTTTTGTTCGGCGACTCTATGACCGACCCTTCCGTCCTGTTGCTCAAAGAGAGCCGGTGGTTCCGCATGGTAGAGGGGACTCATTACTACCTCCCCAGCATGTCGAGAGGGTTTTCAATTGTCGAGCTGCGATCCCTCGCGATTCCTCGGATGATGAACTGAGATTTGACCCCCACTCAGGACGGGGTCACTTGTGGCATCTTTACGGGCTCTACGGCTGGGTATGGAGTGGAGAGCTCATGTAAGCGCGTGACGGGTCTGCGCCCTAGCTTAGTGTCTGCTGAACTGCCCG